CTGCAAGGAAACCTCTTAGGGCCTACTTAATGATAGTCAAGCTAAGAGTATATTTCAGGAACAACTAGGAAAACAGTTAGGCAGCCATGTATGTGATGCCCACCCCGATGCAGCATGGAATGATATCCGAAAAGCTGTGGAAACAGCAGTGATATCTGCTAGTAAGGTAAACCGGAAGGTTAGGGAGCAACACTGGATCTCAGCAGCATCTATCGCACTGATAGATGCTCGGAAACTCATTCCACCTGGCTCTGAACATAATGAAGAGCGGAGTCAGCTTAAGCGCAAGCTGACAAGAAGTCTACGCAATGATCGCGAACAGTGGTGGGTAGCGAAAGCAAGAGAGATGGAAAAGGCAGCGGCAATAGGTAATAGCAGACAATTGTTCAGACTCGTTAAGGAAACCGGAATTAGGAACCGACCGTTAGCGAAACAATCTCAGAGAAAGATGGACATATTATTCATTCTCAATCCAGGAGATTGGATCGATGGGCAGAACACTTTAGGGATCAGTTCAACTGGCCTTCAGCCACACTTCGGTTTCCCACGATCTCCAGTCAACCTGAATGGCAAGTTAATGTAGGTCCTCCGTCTCTTTACGAAGTTGAAAAAGCCATAGGAAATCTGAAACGAGGGAGAGCAGCAGGCCCTGACAGGTTTACTCCTGAGATTTTTAAGGATGGTGGTCCAGTATTAGCAGTGAGATTAACTGAGGTCTTAGGTAGAATTTGGGAACTGGACGTAATCCCATCTGACTGGTCTCAATCACTGATTGTGCCAGTCTATAAGAAAGGACAAAAGTCCTCTTGTGACAATCACAGAGGAATCAGTTTGACTAATATAGTGTCTAAAATATTAGCTTCAATAATACTTCGACGCCTAACAAAGCTCGTGAAGAGCAGACTAGAGAAAACCAGGCTGGTTTTCGACCTGGACGTGGTTGTATAGATCAGATATTCACACTACGTCAGGTTCTAGAACACAGACACACATTCAGACGCCCCACAATGGTAGTATTTCTCGACCTTAAGGCGGCATTCGACTCTGTTGATCGTGAGGTTCTATGGCAGTGTTTGTCACTGAAAGGAGTACCAAAGAAGTACATTAACCTTATAAAGGCTCTCTACTCGAACACAACTGGTAGAGTGAGAGCTTATGGCGAACTGTCATCAGAATTGATTACCTCAAGTGGTGTTCGTCAGGGCTGTCCACTCTCCCCATTCTTGTTCAACTTTGTGGTCGACGTACTTTTAGAGATAACACTCTCCTCATCTAAATTTCCAGGGGTTGAACTTCTACCGGGAGGTTCACTTGTTGACTTAGAATATGCTGATGACATAGTTTTATTTGGTGAAGACGCTGACAAAATGCAGAGTCTTCTGACCACTCTAAGCAACAATGCAAGCATGTTCGGGATGCGATTCTCCCCCTCGAAATGCAAAATGTTGCTTCAGGATTGGGTTACATCGACACCCGAACTAGTGATAGGGAGTGAAGTAGTTGAGTGTGTCGACCGCTTCACTTATCTTGGAAGTCTCATCAGCCCTTGTGGTCTGGTGTGTGACGAAATCTCAGCACGGATACAGAAGGCTCGACTAGCTTTTGCCAACTTGCGTCATTTATGGCGTAGGCGAGATATCCGTCTATCAACCAAAGGACGGGTTTACTGCGCAGCAGTTCGTTCCGTCCTACTTTATGGCAGTGAAACATGGCCGGTAAGAGTAGAGGATATTCGTAGGTTACTAGTATTTGATCATAGGTGTCTTCGAAACATTGCTCGTATATCATGGGACCATCGAGTAAGTAATGCAGTTGTTAGGAAACGGGTACTAGGTAAGGATGGCAAATCAATTGATGAAGTAGTGAAACTTCATCAGTTGAGATGGCTGGGACACGTGTTACGTATGCCCAACGACCGACTGCCTCGACGTGCTATGTTCAGTGGTATAGGAGTAGGTTGGAAGAAAGCTAGGGGCGGCCAAACCAAAACATGGCACAAGTCCATGAAGTCACTGACAAGTGGACTGAGTCATGTTGGTAGGTGTAGACTACCTGGTTGGGGACCGCGAGATGATAGCAACCGATGGTTAGAGACCCTGAATGACATGGCTCAAAATCGTTTGCAATGGCGCAGGTGCATCCACTCTTTGTGTTCTCCCAAATTCTAATCTCCTTATTCCTCCTTGTCTCTTTTTTTTCTCCTCTCAAATTTATTTCACTGTATTATACTCTTTAAATAACATCTCCAAACACTAATCTTCCCGATTACTGCTTATACTCTTATTACCTCTACCACTACGGGATTTGAATCGACACTGCATCTCTGTGCTAATGTGGTGTGGCAACTCGAACTGATGTACGTACGTACGAAGTTCTACGTTGTTACTGACTGACTGACTGACTGACTGACTGACTGACTGACTGACTGACTGACTGACTGACTGACTGACTGACTGACTGACTGACTGACTGACTGACTGACTGACTGACTGACTGACTGACTGACTGACTGAGACGTTAGCTAGAAACAGTTGTTCTGAGCTCCTTGGTTTGCTACGAATCGCTAGTGGACTGTTCAAATCTAATAAATCTTGACAAACAAACTAAATGAAAGATAAATAAATTATCTAACAAATTAAAATTAATAACACTTATATGTATGCAAACCACAACTGGTTAGACTTAAACTGTTTAAACACTTATATCTGAGATTAATTAATTCAAATATGACAACAGTCATAATAAGTGCAGAAGTTTTAGAAATTACAAAGCTATTTAATTAATTCTTAAGAAATCTCACTATTAATAACTGCTGGGGAGTTCCATAGTATTTCTTGGGAAAGTTCAGGGGGATTCAAAAAACGCTTGGAAACACTTAACCCTGTAAGGGTTGAACAGAAGCTACTCATAAACACCTAGAAGCTGAAGAGCCATGTGCCACGTTTCTAACAGGATATTTGCCTATAACGTTACTATATTTAGTGTGGTTACAGAAATCTTCAGAAGCCAAAGGTTGTGCGTAACTCTATAAATACTCTTGTTTTTCTGTATATAAACTAACCTTGGAATAAAGCGTATTTTTTTGTACTTTGCTTCTTTTCTCTTGTGTTCAATTTACCGTGTAGATTTAGCCTGAGGTAATGTTGTGCCGGAAAAACAAAAGCGCTAATCACTTGTACTCGGAACGAGGGACCTCGGCAATTCCCACGATGCGAAAGTAAGAACACAAGACTGGTATAAGTGAAGATTTATTAGCCCAAACACTATGACAACGACGAATCAAATATAGTCTAAAATACACTGGTTTATATATTGATTGTCTCTCTCAAACTCTCACTCTCTCTCAGCTACAACGTAGGACCAGGCACATATATGCATCCGTCCAAGTTGCCATACCTCATTACACAACAAGATCAACACCGGATTCATAAAAGTAGTTAATTCAGAGGTGGTAATATATAAAAGAAAGATTGCAATAAGGATATAGTACAGGAAGAGAGAATTAGTTCGTAGAAACAAAGATATGAAGCAATTTGAATCTCTTAGTTTAAGGGAAGACGGAGTGTATACACCTACGCCATTGTGATCGATTCTGAGCCATGTCACCAAGAGTCTCCAACCAATGGTTACGAAAGTCACACGGACCCCAACCAAGTAGTCTGCATCTACCAACATGGCTCAGACTAGAAGTTAGTGACTTCAAGCACTGATGCCACGTTTTGGTTTGGCCGCCCCTAACTTTCTTCCAACCATCTCCAATACCGGATAGCATTGCACGTCGTGGTAATCGGTGTTCAGTCATACGTAACACGTGGCCCAACCATCTCAGTCGATGAAGATTCATAACCTCATCAACTGGTTTACCATCATTCCCTAATACCCTGCGTCGAACCTCACTATTACTTATCCGGTGATCCCAGCAGACGCCAGCAATATTTCCGAGGCATCTGTGGTCAAATACTAGTAGCTTACGAGTGTCTTCTACTCTTAATGGACATGTTTCGCTGCCGTAAATTAAAACAGAACGGACTGCCGCGCAGTAGTACACTAAACCAACTAACATCAAAGATGATGATATACTAATAGCAAAAATATATTTCATTAATCTTCCTGCAATATTAATTTTACTACAATACAACAGACACGGTACCATAGATAGACTACAAAGTTCCAAAAACAACCAAAACATTAGTATATCACCACTAATCAATGTTAACAATCTTAATAACGCTATTAATAATATTGATATATATACCTTTACCATAACTAATCTAAAAAAACTACCGATTAATAAATGCTTAAATTAGTAGTGAAACACTGAAACCTTCAGTATCTCTTCAATTATAAATCAATGAACAAGAACGACGAATACCTCATAAATAAAAAGAATAAATTAAAAAATGCAAATATGGTGTTATTATCAAAAGAAATACATAAATCACCGATAGCTAATCCTACACATTGATTGATTAAATCACATACTCAGTTATAACAAATCAACTACTGAGCATAGTTCATCTCAAGTGAATGCAAGAATATCGTACATTATACAGAAGAAAATATCATACTGGAAAAACAATCAAATACTACACTGAATGATCCTCATATTGAATCAAAACGGATGTAATGTTGAATAAAACTTATAACGATTAATTCAATCGAAAATTGACTTTTCTTTCCATCATATCAAGCAATAATTAATCTACTGGGTATAAACTCGGGTCCTAGCAGGTAATTAGAGAAGGCTACGGAATCGCATCGAGTGTTCACTTAGCAGACTTATCAGCAACCGATTTATTTACTGTCCAACTAGCAAAAACATTTAATAATACACGCTGGCTTATTTGAACACCTACTATTGAGATTCTGATATGAAAAAAAGACACTTCTTTAAAAAAAATTATACACTACCTTTGTCTTGCACGAAGTTTCAAAAGGCTATGAAATAACAATCGATAGTAAAAAAAACATATATGTCAATAACAAAAATCATTATTTACCCGACTTGTAACTTTTGCACTGGCCACTCGTTGTCCACTCTGTCTATCCCATACATACAGAGTATGATCTTCTTGACTACCAACGCTAACTAAATATTGATCGTTCGGGCTGAAACGTACAGCTACGACACGAAAATGATGACCACCGAATTCAGCTAACTGACAATGATCTGACACATTCCATAGTCGAACCATTGGTTGATGACCTGACTAGAAATTATGATAATTTAGGGAAAAAATACTATTAAAACTATGATTAAACGGGTAATGATCAACATAACGGAATAACCAATGAATACATCGTCTTATTAGTCAGCTATTCTGATAAAAAAAACATTTGAACTAATAGACTGTGTTATACTTAGTTCATTATAAAAGTAGTTAAATTACTTTGCTTTCATCTTTGAACAAAGTTTAAATACAGAAAAAATGACTTAGAAAACACCCTGAATGGAAGAAAAGCTCTAGTAAAAAACCCTTTGTCCACTATAATGAACCTTATGCTGTAAGTTAAAAGTAACTTGGAGGCATCTTAATTAACCATTTAATAGAGACGAAATATCATATTGCCTAGACTGTAACGCTGATAGAATCTAGTCAGTCGAATCGCAATGTGACTAATTGATATAGCTGTGGTATACGTTTGGTGTTACGCAGCTGTAAGTAATCGGTGGGGAACTTCAAATCTATGTTTGGGACTAATTGGTAATTGTCGTTAAAAATGTTATTAGCAATCCTGAGGAAGTTGATGTCCCCCCACGAGGAGATAGCTTAGTGATTAACGTACTCAGCTCTCAATCAATAAGTAAACGGTTGAAACAATTGCATACCTACTTCGGTTTGGGCATATGAGTAGTATCACTATCCCTAATACAATCAAATTAACTACGAGGAGAATAGATGAAGGAGTTATATTGTTCAATATTATACGGTAATGATGTCTAAGAGAATTGATGCAATGATAGAACAATAAATCCTATTCAAATCGAATATGTCAATTGAATGACACAAGAAACTATAAATCGACTCAGAAGGTAGGTTTGAATAATTGATTTTCGTAAACAGTAAATCATATGAAAATAAATAACTTGGTACTTTTGTTGAGTAGAGTAACTAAGATGCTTGAAAGTGTATGATTTCCTATATGTGAGTGAAGATATTAATAGCCGAAGCAAAACAAAATTCTCAGTCATGGGAAGATTAGAATTAGAAATTGCTGACAAAAAATAAACCTTTCTTTGTTAAAAAAAATTCAGTCTCTGACAATCAAAACTATTTTAAAATAGTCTAATTTATAAGTTATTTGTGCAGTTCCATTATTCTCAAAACAACTATTTAGTGAAGAAGAAAACAGCTATTTTTGTAGTATTTTATCAATCACAGGATATTTATTGGTGAAATGAAACAGATGACTTGGTTGTGACTATTACAATCTTTTCAAAAGTTGAAGTTAAGAAATACTATTAAAAATATTCCTGTATGATTTTAATGATCTAAAGTAAAAACTTCAACGTAGGTAGTAATATTTTATCATTATAAATTTAAATGGACAAAATTGAAAAAATCGATACACAAAAAAGAAAGTGTTTCTCTGGCAACATGTGTACCTTTAAACGACAGAATTTGTTTTGTTTCTATTCTACCCCTTACCCCATTCACCCATAAGCCTACCCACTCGTTATAGCTTCGCATCAATTTGAAATAGAGAAAGTATGGAATTTCTCGCTACACAGGTATAAGACAATACTTCGGTAAAAGATTATTTCAAATAAATAATACGAATTCCTAAAGTAAAAATAATCTGTTCAGAAACTAACAGTAAAAACATATAGCTACATTATATGTGCAAGATTCTCGCCAGTTAGTTACAAACTTTATGCAGATTAAAGGATAACATAGTGATATATGAGCTACGAGTCACGTTAACCATAAGTCCGAATAAGATTTGCAAGTAGTTGAAAAAAACACCTAATATAATAAGAGTTTGTAATGCCCTGTTTTAAATGCCGTTCTCCCCTTACTCAAATTCATGAAGAAAATAAGTTGTACAGATTTAGGTTGTTTGCCACCCAAATAGAAAATATTTCAAAACGTTGAAGATTTTTAATTTATAACTGAAAAAGTATGACTGTTCGTTACTTTCTCAGAATAGTATATTTCTCTTTAAACGTTAACGTTATCCACTGACTTACCGATACCAGATAACCAGTAAACTTGTTCAGTGGATAGGATGTTTAAATTATCTTGTTGAATACGCTCAAAACTGAATTCCGATCTATCTTTGTTAGCATATAAAAATCGAACGAGGATTTTCTCAGTGTAAACGTCAACATCAGGATCCAGGCACACTTAGCTGACGAGTTTCAAATGGGACGAAATTTCCAACCTGAATTCCACAACTCATAGTACATCTATTCTATGGAAAGAACTTGTAACAAAACAGATGTATCTAGGAAATTCGCACAATATGAACGTTTACCAACAAAGACTGATCAGAACCCTGTCTAGAATATCAATAACGGAAACATTTAAAGGATTACTAGGTGGCTAAAACTTATAAGACATTCATAATATACTATCATTTTGTAAAAGACATCATAATGGAATTTTACTGATTTTGATTACAGTCCAGTAGGACACTATCATATTATCTACTACAGAATTAAACCATGAAAATTAACATTTTAATCAATCAAAATCCATGATATAATATTACAGTGGGAGTCGATAACACTAACAATAACTATGTGAAAGAAAAATATCATTTTAACCAATACAACACTGAAAAAAAACAAGAAAAGAAATTTTCGACCTGGAAATGTTGCCTTAAATATAAAGAAAAAAGAGTTATGACAAAGAAAAACAGTCCATTAAAAAGAAATAACACTAATCAAATAATCATGACCGTTAATTTTGAAACGGATCAGTATAAGTTTTAACTTTGTATATTTAAAAATTAGGGAGAAAGGGTTTTCCAAAAGACTTTCTTATCTCAAATAGTTTTCAAGGAAGAGAAAAAAACAGCTATCCATTTGCTGTTATATATTAGGGTAAATTAGATTAATGTTGGCATATCAATGAAATAATTGTATTGATATTTAAGAAATGTCCTACTTTTTATGAAGAAAAAAGATTGATCTTGAAATCCAGTAGGAAAAAACACCGATGAATTTCAACAGGGACTGATACCAGCAGAAAGAATCACTGGAAACCGATGAACAATAAGATACTTTAATTCACTTGATATTGTTTTACTTGAATCTTCCCATTGATGTTTTAGGACTGAAATTGATCAGTCTCTTATTGGCATATGTGCATGCTGTGCGTATGCCTCGATATTGCCTTAATTTACAAGCATTACAAGCAAAGATGGATAGTGGCTAAGCAGTGGAATCCAGGACGCGCGTTTCGTCCTGTTTGGGACTCGTCAGCTGGATGTACCTGCATCTGAGTTGATGTTCACTCTGGGACTCGAACTCAGTACCGTTCGCTTCAAACGCCATCGCGTTATCCACTTAGCTACTGAGCCTAATAGCCACTTGCTTGTGCAATGGGGTGAAGTTTAATTCACTTGATATTGTTTTACTTGAATCTTCCCATTGATGTTTTAGGACTGAAATTGATCAGTCTCTCACACCATTGCACAAGCAAGTGGCTATCAGGACTCAGTAGCTAAGTGGATAACGCGATGGCGTTTGAAGCGAACGGTACTGAGTTCGAGTCCCAGAGTGAACATCAACTCAGATGCAGGTACATCCAGCTGACGAATCCCAAACAGGACGAAACGTGCGTCCTGGATTCCACTACTAGACACTATCCATCTTGGCTTATAATAAGATACTTTTCCTACTCCAGTTTTTAACTCTTAAGTAGTGTACATTAACAAAGAAGTGTGATATTGAATCCATAAATTCCAGTCAGCTATGGTAAGATTGTAACTGTAAGCTATTAATGACAGTATTATTTATTTGTTTTAACACATAGATATTGGTACAAGGAGGCACCAAATACATATGCGCCACACAAATCTCATTCGATATGTGTGAGGTCTGTGATACTGCCCGGGTCCCCAAACCGAAGCAGGTGGTTTTCTTAGAGGGCCACACCCCGAGCCTTCGACCTGAAGGCCTGATCCACAAAGGCAGTGGAGCATCGTAAGGAGATTCATTCCCATGGTAGCCGGTGACCAACGATTGGTTCATACGCCATTTTTTCCCTCAGGATACTGGAGCCCATGTGCACCATTGGTTTGAAATCCGGTTAAAGCACCGGACATTCGCTTTTCGTCCTCTCATTTTCGGAAACAACACCACCGCCACGAGAAGACAGTGAGTAGGACTTCCCTGGCAGAGGCTATATACGCGTAGCCATGTGAGAGCATTTCGAGAGGGAGAGAGGACTTATTTAATAAGACAAGATTATGAAAGGGAGAAAAAAAGCATAAAAATAAACAAAACAAAGTAAGAGCTCTGTGCAACAACCTAAAAACTAGATAATCAATATGTTTTTTTAAAAAGACTAGCAATTTTACTAATGACTATTTATGCAATGAATTTAAACCTGTAATCTAATTTTCTTTTTTTCATCAGTATAGGGGGTTATGGAGATTGTTGAGTTGTTAGGTCTGATGTTTAATTTCACTGAAATTAACTCACTAATATTTGTATATGTTACCCGCATACAATTTGCAAAACATTAAGACAATGGAGAATAAGAATAAAACAGTAGTCTATATCAGACAGCAATTTATAGTCTAAGATTTAACTTGTAAATCACCGGGTTAATTTGTCATTATATTCAAACAATAAAAATTAATTATTTAAATATGATAGATAAATATAATGCATGTTTACATTAAAAGTAAAAATCAAACCATAGTTAATCATTTCATTAAATGGACTGACGATAACATAGAAACAAACAAATGAATAAATAAGTATGATTCACTAAAATAGTGAGTTAGAATGATGATTAGTATCACTTATCATTACTACATATGACTATATTTGACAACGACTGGTTACGTTTAAACCAATGCATTATACATCATCAAAACCACCAATCATTAAATATAAACTTATTTGACGACACATTGAAATTAATGAAATAAATACAAACACGTATTTCTATAGTACCCAGCATAAGATAAAAATGGTAGAACGACTGTAAACATAAGCTCACTTATCTATATAATGATTTATGGTGAAAATTTATAAAATAGAATAGTCTACACAATACTATGCAGGCGTTATTATAACAGTCATATTTTGATATCATAAGGTTTTAATGATTAATAATTAAACTTTACACACTACAATTCCAGATTTTGCTGTGTTGGCGATAGTCGGATCATAATCTAGAAATATTTCTTTTTCCTAAATCTCTCTATGTTGATCTCTTATTATGTTATTTTTTTATGTTCAATTCTAAAGAATATATACTTATGCACAGGCGTATTTGTAACTGAATTTTTCTAATCACGGGTCTAATAAACCTTTTAGTCAAGATTTCATTCCTTTCATTTAAATTAGTTAAGAATATAGAAGAAAAAAGGCTACTGATCATGATAATTCAGTTTAAGGTTATCTGATCTCACTACCAATCATATATCACTCTGACTATACATGTTTCTCACTTTTTTAATCACCCAATCCAACAGCTGAATCCCGAAAGGCAAAAGTTGATTAACTGAGTGATAACTTTTTGATAAACTGCCATACAACGACAAAAGTATTAAAAAAAGATATATATGAATGAAAACACATATTTGTGAACTAAACTAAAAATGAAATAAATCACTTCTGTGAAAAAAAACTCAACTAAAGTTTGCTTACAGACAACAGTAAAGCAATATTTGAATAAAGTCACATAATAATTAAGCTATAAAATGAAGAAATTCATTCGGACAAAGTTAACCACTTTTGTAAACGTTCAAATATTATTTACTTTTATACGTGACAAGAAATATTTGATTCTTTGACATAACGGGGGCTATTTGGAACTAACAAACCACTATTTTATGATTATATAATAAAGCGTACAGAGAGCAGTGGAAAACTGTCTGAAATATAATCCAAAGGTTATAAGGAATACATAATTAGGTCCAGTATAAATCCATTTTGTATAATGTGTTCTTCTGAAATCCTAATAATACACGAACCATGAAGAAATACTAGACTTAGTGCAGTAAATGCTTCATTTGAGTTCATCTGTGACTTCAAGAATATAAAACAATAATTTTAAAACCTATAAAAATATCTTTAAAATGACTCATATAACAATATGTAGAAAATAAATCTTTAATAAAACGGAAACAAATATAAAACAGAAATTAAAAAATACTATGTAGTAGCAATGTTCAAAAAGTATTGTTTTTGCATTGTTAACCAAATTCATTAAGAAATAACTTCATCGGTCTTATAAATTGGATCCAGCAAACTTATAATACTCCATGAAGGCGATGGTCACATGCTTGAACAACAAAACTAGTCGTTATCAAACGTATACAACACGGATTACAAATACTTTATTAACTGATTGAACATGATTTTCAAGACACTCAAAGTCTGATATAAACATTGGTCAACACACCAACCCATCAAAACGTAAGATTTGGAAGGCATTGCTAGGAAGTTATGCACCAGCATGGTCATCAGTAACGGATGCTCCTAATTATCAATAAAACAGTAATAAACAATAGCAAATGTACGGGTTATTTTCATTATGCATTGGTGTCATCCAACGTTGAAACATCTTAACAATGTTTACTCAAGACCATCAACTCTTACAGTTAACACAGTACCATGTGTCAAGATACAATGGTGCAAATTTTTCATGATAAAAATTATCTTGAAATTATGTAAAAACCTCCATTCAATATTGAAGAAAATATCTTAAGAGACGTATTATACAGAACAAAACGATTTCTGAAGACTAGAAATTATTGAAAAGTGATATACATACGTTTATTTATTATAACTGTTATAAGCATTAGAAAGATCATTACTATGGTCAATAGTATTGAAGGAATAATTTTAGTTCAAGGTCATTTATCCATTAAAATCTAAACTAGTGCGAGAAAATGCAAAGTACAGATTTAAGGCTACAAAAGGAACACTAAAAATATGAAATAAAGTTCATTGATAATAAAACAAAAATCACAAAACAATTATCAGACATTCAGTACTGAAATGTACAACCGCTAGAGTAAACTAAGCAGAAAAAAAACCACGGATTGTAAAACGATTATGACTGTGTACTTTTCACAATTCAAATATATATACAATTAACACATATCCGTTCATCGTATCTAAGTATATATGTATGATATTGTTGATAAGTTTGGGATTATCTTAGTAATTTTCATAGTACATAAAAAAAACTTTGTTGTATTGCGGAGAGTGCTGAAGGCAGTTAAGAGGGTGTGTGGGAAATCTTTTGATGTTATTATCAATATGGTTGTGAATAGGCATCTAAAATCTTGCAAACTCCTGGCAGGTATTATTTTATCAGATACTAACCATCCCCTTCACTCTTATCTTTCTCCTTGTATATCTTCTGGTAGAACGAGACGTAATTACATTAAAATCCATGCAAACAAGCAAAAGTATGAAAGTTCTATAATATCTTACCTAGCAAATATACTCTGTGACGAACAGGTTGTTAGAGTTAACCTAGTCAATAAATTGCATTCTTAACATGTCTCTAATTTGAAAAGTTGTACAGTTTTTTCAGATTTTTTTAAAAAAATTTTAAACCTTTTTTGTCTTTGTTTTTTTGTGTAAGAAACTTGTTGAAATACCCTGTGCTGAGAATTCTATATTGTACCAAAATATAATATTGAATAAAGCCATTAATTATTAATAATAATCATAATTAAATGGAGTAAAATGCAATAAGGAGTTCAGGTTTACTTATTATTAATCGCCATAGGACAATTAATTGTATTCAATTTCTCCAATTACTGCTGTTTGGATTTGTCCATACGTGTAGCGTTTCGGCTGTTAGCCTCTCTTTGTCTGAACTAGAACATTTTGGAGGATTCTTGTGCCATTTGAAACCAATTACGCGGCCGAACTCTTCTGAGTACAGTGCTATCGCTGACCTGTTCCCTGGCTTTTTTCAGGTTTTCTGATGACTTAGAAATGTGCTTCAAGCAAAGTTTGTGTTCCTCCACCCTAACATTCAGCTGCTTTGATGTTTTAACTACATATATAGCATTACAGTCACTATATTTGATCGCATTAGCACAAGTTTTTGTTCCCCCTTGAGCAATGAATCTTTGGTTGTTACCAGTTTGGGTGACATAATAATAACAATCGAAGGATAAAATAAGTAGTGACTGCACTGTACTTATAACTAGTTCAAATTATATGATTGATATAACTAGTTCAATCACCACAGACTAAAACAACTCATACAGACATCAAAAAGGACAATGATAGGATATATAACAATAAAAGTACAGTTATTATTGAGTTTAGGGCTAACCAGATTTATTAATTGATTTAAATATCGTATTGTTGGTACAAGTGCATTTAATGTTTATCTTCGTTTAAAACCTTAGTTTTTAAACTAACTTATTAGCTTTACTACTATTTCACTAGTCTATATTTTCTTCTTGAATAATATCTTTCAAGTTTAGTTTTTGTATTACCATCAATACTGTTGCTATCTCTACTTGCCTCGAAAATTTTATTGAGGTTCGATAATGGGGTGTAGCAAGTGGAGCAGATGTATACATGTACCAGATTCTACGTTGCGTATGACTGACTGACTAACTAACTGAAAAATTATGTCGAGTTTAAAAGCAATTTCTTATCAAACTAGGATAGTGTTTTCTAAGAATCAATGATTTTTCAGATGACGTTGGTTTGTAATGCAAATTACTTACAAACTATTTAACTCTTACAATTTCTTAACCAATAGTTATTATATCAATGAAATTCTCTATCTAACTTTATAAATGTAAACATGATAGAGAAACACATTACAAATTTATGAAGTAAAACAAAAAAACAGGATTGATTGAACTGTAAAATTTGAAGTACAATTATGAAGAAATTCTATAAATTTATTTTGATTCAAAATAAATTAACTAACTTCTCCTGTGGCTAAATATTTTCCATCTGAACTAAAATCCACTGCTGTAATGGCTTTACGACTTTGACTTTGTATAAATTGTTGTCGTTCATTTTCAAATGAATGAAGAACTGTCACACACCTATTTACAAATGTATACATTATTATTATTAGATCAATAGCTTGAGAAACATGATTTTAAAAATTATTCATCTGAACAACATAATACTTTAATGTTTTATTCTGTCAATTAGTATTAGTCTACATAAATTTTCATACTAATTGATGCTATTATCCAACTACAGACGTTTAAAGGGTGATTACAAAGAAAACATTTCACTCATTGTTGCATAATACATACAAAAAATGACCACCAAAAGTAGAAGATGGTTTTAAGCTGTATGTCATCGATTATAAGCATTTTTAAAGTCCTGACAGTGTGTGATGGAAGAACAGTGTTAGTTTTCTGTGTGATGAATTTCTTAGTGTTGATAGGACTGTAAACCAATTTCGAACAAGACAGTTGAGCTTACTCACGATCAGCTGATGTTATATTAGTGTCCTGAGATGGTTATAGGTTGATTCGATAAAATATTAAGATGACTGAGTTCACTGGACTGAAATTCCACTTACACGACGGTTTCAAGAATCCTGGACAAATAAACTTACCAAAACAAAGCCATCGATCGACTAAATGAGTATTTGATTATGTGCAACAGAATTACATGTTTGGAAAACGTTAGGCTATAATACTATACCTGAATTACTTATCAGATCATGATTAATTAAGTATACGAATTAAAAAACATAAAGTACTCAAAGGTCCTTCACTTCTGCTTAACACGATCGGTTAAAGTGGGAGTGAATTGAAAAAAGAACTACGCATGGTTATACTTTTAGCGGTGCGAAATCTGACTCCAAAAAGAATGAACGATAAATGAGCCATGAACATAAGTCTTATATTATATTCCGTATATTCCACTTAGACTAACACTGTTTAGGCGACGGCGGTAATTAAAATCTAAATACAAATTAGGTTTGATCCATTTATTTCATGTACTTGTTTACTCAGACAGACATTAAGATGAGAAGCGAAGCGGAGTGGGGGAAGAAAGCGTACCAACTCCACTTTATGGAAGGTGACTCACTATTTATGGTCAGAAAAATGAGCTAAAAAGATGTGATGAATGGAGTAAGCCATAGACAAAATATGTTCAAGGCCAGGGTTGCAAACGGATAACTGACAAATTTGTGGATAATGATGCAAGAAGAATAATTTAATTGGTCGTTTTAGATGTGATATAGTACTAAACACTATAAATACGATGTAGTATTAGTCTACAAAGTAACATCCTATATCTGAAAGTTATGAGATAATCCAAGCTTCTTTTCACAGGATAGCAGTAATCGATGGTTGAAATTTGAAGCGTTTTCTAATTGATCCCCAAACTCGAACAACTTGAAGCAGAATAGAAGCTTTATCTTTACATACTTTCTCTGAAAATGCCATCAAAAAACACGAGTGCATATTGGCAGTGGAAATTAAAACAAGTGATTAAAAACAATTTTTAGCGAAAGAGAATGATATATTATGGCTTTTATTATATCTTATAAAAATAAAGTTGATTTGAATATTGCACTCCCTAGTTAGGCAAACTATGAAATTTATTAACTACAAAAAGTAAAATATGTTGCAAACTTTATGAAATTTGTGCTACAGAATAACATCTACAGAAAATATATCATATAAACGATATAAGTACTAAAATGCAACTCACCCAGCAGCATGAGCAATAAGACCAGTTTTATCAGAGAATGCAACTGCGCAGTTATTGTTCAACGTAAAACCTATTACCCGTTCAAGTGTAACCTGAGTATTAGGCTAATTAAGATGAAGAAGTAATGAAATAAGAGTTCCGTTGAAATGAATTTTAAAATATCGTTAACAGTCACGATCTGACACGAAACATCTCGATAATACAACAGATATGATTGGAGAAAAGTTGAGTACAAAGATCCGCAATACTAACGACCATCACATAGCATATCTAAGCACATGGTGACACTTGGTTACATCTATAAATAGATATCTAAGAGTACACCAACTGATTCCATAAGAATACGCGCTTTAAATTCTTAAGCAAAAAACATAGTATACTGAAAGCGTATAAAAAATAGATGAAACCAACATGAATTCTTTACTCTACCAGGT